TACTATTTATAGAGAAAGAAAACCTTATTCCATAAAGGAAAAGTATTAAAATTTAAGGAAATCTTATTCCATAAGGAAAAGGTATTAAAATTTAAGGAAATAATTCAATTTTAATTGAAAAAAATTCACAAGAAAAAGTATTAAATTCAAGGAAATCTTATTCTACAAGAAAAATGTATTAAAATAATTTAATTTTAATAGAAAAATAATAGTTAGTAGAGGAGGGATTCAAACTTGAGTCTTGGAGACCTTCATGATACTATTAACCACCAAGCTATTGAACTTTTATGTTAAAATTACGCATGTTTATTTACTTAATTGAATTCAAGAAGTCAAAAATAATTACAGAAAAAGAAAACATCCCTGCGGGGAATCGAACCGGGACAAAAAGTAGGATTGCACAGGCTATTGCCAACTCCACTGCTCATCACTTTGTTATTTCAAGGGGTCCAAATTCTATATATACCAATATAAAATCAAAATTTTACGTGTCTTTATAGTATAATTTTTCGACGAAGGGTGTCCAATTGGACACCCTGGAGCCTACGTGGCTCCGCCCCTGCTTAAAGGGTATGATGCATTCAAAGGAACAGAGTGGATACTAAATGAAAATGTTGTGTTTCGGAAATTAAAATATCTACCGATTCTAGACGCAGATCTGAAAAGATGGGAAGCTCATAGTGATAATTTTCCTATGCTTGAGCAACTAATACTGCATCGCTTCCATGTTCTCCAAGAGATTCCCGACAGTATTGGAGAAATAATGACACTAAAATTCATCAAAATTAAAAATTGTGGTCCTACAGTTGTCACTAGTGCAAATAAAATTCAATAGGACCAAGAAAGTTGGGGAAATTATGACCTTCAAGTTCAAATTACTCCCAAGGTATGTTAACTACTACTCCCTTTGTCCCTAATTACTTATTCACTTTTTCTTTTATAGTTGTCTCTAATTACTTGTCCATTTTGACAAATCAAGAAACGACAATTTTTTTTTACCTATTATACCCTCAATTAATTAATTTGAAAAAAGTAGAATTTTTTAAAAATCTTAAGTTTTTAATTCATCTACTTTATAATTAATAGAAAAAAATGGTAAACTCACTATATCAATAATTGTTTTCTTAATAAATGTGTCAATTCAAAAGTGGATAAGTAATTAGGGACGGAGAGAGTAATATTTAGTCTTACTTCCCATCTTCTTTTATTTTTCTTAACAACGATATTGTCTGGACCATTTTACTTATGATGATTCTTTAAAATTTTCAAAATAAATTAATAATATGAAATAATATAATTATATAATAGGTGAGGCAAAAGTGCCACTTGTCGAATCACAATTAATCTTCAAGGTTCAGTTTTTTTCTAAAAAATATTATAAATGTGATATTATTTAATATTTGAATCAGCTTTTGCATATTTTGACTAATTATCTGTCACCTCCCACCACTAACAAAACTAGGTAAAACACTGCTCACAATACTTTTTTTTTATAAAAAAAAATCACATTTATACTTTCAAACAGATTTGTCTCTACTGAGTTATAAATGTGATTTTTTAAAAAGGGAAAACAACACATGTCAGCAACCAATAAATTATCTCACGTTTAGATTGTTTAAATTTTTTACAAAAATGTATTTTTTCGAAATAATTTAAAATGTTAACACCACAATAAATTATGATTTAATATTTATAAATAAATAAAATGTGTCAGTACCACAAATATTCTCAAAATTTCATTTTTAAAAATATCAATTTATTAGATATTAATAATCAAATTTGTTTTAATAAAAGTCACATGTCATCAAATAATAAATTCTCGGATTTTCAGTTTGTTCAAATTTTGTTTTAAAAATATACATTTTATATTTTGAATTTTTTTTTGACAAATATCAGCATTCAAAAAATTTAAAATTCAATATTTTAAAAATAAATTAAACATGTCATCACCACAAATATTTCTCTTTTTTGGTTTTATTTCCTTAACTAAAAATTGGTTAATGACAATATAAATTTTATTAGACAGTTTTAAAAGTTTCAATTACACTACCACTACTATTTATGTGAACTTAAATTCTTTATAAACAATTAATGTCTTTTTTGTTATTATTTAGTTAAATTGATATTTGTTTGTGCTTATTTCAAAATTTAATATTTAAATAAACATGTACAGTTTAAAAATTACTCATTAAACACTTACTACTTAACAAGTTTATAAACTAATCATTAATCACTTTTTTTAAAATAAAATATTATTTTAAAATTACAGACTAAATATAATAAATTCTTTCAAATTTCTGCTATTTTACAGTATTAATATTCAACTAATAATTCTTATTTGATTCTAAGCACTTAGATTGATTTTTTTTTAATTACAATTCAAATAAAATTATCTCTAAAAAAGCATTAAAGCCACAATTCTACATGAAAGATATTACTTTCAATCTATCAGTTTTTAATATTTTTTAAAAATTAAAGAAAACTACGACTTAAATAATACTCCCTCCATCCCATTTTATGTAAGGTAGTTTGACTCGGTACGGTGTTTAAGAAAGAAATGAAAACTTTAAAATTTTGTGGTCCAAAATGAATGATAGAAATTTGTGTGACTGTAAAACATTTCATTAAGGGGTAAAGAGACATTTTATAATTAAATTCTTACTTAATATAAAAATGTGTCAATCTTTTTGAGACTGACTAAAAAGGAAATAAGTCACATAAATTGAGACAGAGGGAGTACGTTTTAAAAGTTTCTCTATAAATTTATTATAATTACATGTGATTACAAAAAAAAAAAAAACGGTTCCATGACTACGCAATTACCATCCACTTTAACAAAATTTTATAATCACTCAAAAATTGTTTTTCATTGCACATATAATTTATATATATCGTTTATTATGTCATATATATATATATATCATTTATCATGTTAAAACTTAACAGTATTTTGCCTAACACCAAAAACTATTATGGCTTTATAGTTAATTACAATCTCAGAAATTTCAAACAAATCGACACAATGTATCTTGAAAGTTCGTGTTGTTCGAATGTGGATAGTATCACATATATACAAGTCAGGAATACCTCTTTCATTAGAGTTGGTTTTGCAAGATGAAAAGGTAATTTCTATAATTGATTATTTAACGTTATTCAATCTCTCGACATATTATTATAACTTTAATATTAAGAAATTGTATATTAACATAACAAAAAATTTATGTAGGGTGATCATATAAGTGCATCAACTGGAAAGTCTACAATTAAGTATTTCAAGGACAAGATTCAGGAACTTGGTTTATATGAGATGAACAACTTTGTTGTAGCCACAAATTACATAACTTTCACCACTTCGACACACAAACACAGGCTGATATTTACACGAAATACAATTGTGACAGAAATACCCGATTCATTATTCCATATGAATATCTTTAATTTGCGCACTTTTGATCAATTGACAACTCAACATAATGTGGATGAGGCTGTACTATTCGGTAATTACTTACACTATTCATAATATGTTTCATTTACAATATAATTGTACTAATCTATATTATTTATATAGATGTTATTGGGCAGGTTGTCACTTATGGACCAATTCAAATAGACGAAAAAGGAGAGAACACCCGTTATTATATGAAAGTTGTATTAGAAGATGATAAGTAAGTAAGCCTTATAATTAATTATTAATTTCATTTTATCACCACTTCTTTAAATTTATTATATACTAATTACTAATAATATAATTGACTAACACGTACAGAAAAAATAGGCTTTCCACAACTCTCTCTATTTGATGAATTGACAGATCAAATCCAACCTCATCTATGTGGATCTACAAATGAACCATTGATTATTGTTTTGCAATTAGTGAAGGCTTACAAATTTAGAGGTATGATCATTGTAAAATAAATAATTCAGATTATTATTATTACGAATAAAACTTGACTGACATGGTTAACAAAAAATCAACAGAAAACTACTATGTTCATAGTTGTCATTGGCAATCCAAACTTTGGATAAATCTTAATCTACCTCAGCCTACTGATTTTCAAAAATAGGTTTGACATCATCTTCATATTATGTGTATCATATAATTTTTTTCCCAATTAATTATATGTTTTGAGTAATTTTGCAGATTAGTTGCATCATCTGGTTCGAAACATGAGAGAATTTTTCAGACAAATTCACAACATATTTCGGATGAGTTGTCGAAAGGAATTGTGCCTTTTAAATTTCGTAGTGATTTAATTGAATGCACTGAAGTGAGTTTAATATAATATTGATGCATTGCTTTATATATTTACAATTTCTAATTTGTATATATATTAAATTGCATTTTTATATATGCTTTTAAAGGAATCTGCCTATTGGATTGCTGCAAAAATTGTTTGTTTGAAACTTGATCATGGATGGTCACACTTGGCTTGCAACATATGTTTTACACCGGTGGACCAAGAGGGAAATAAATATTATTGTTCAGAATGCAATAAGGAAGTAAAATATGTTATTAACAGGTTTGTATAATCAATTAATATTCTGTAACACAATATATTATGATTTTCAGGTACAATCTTCAAATGTATGTTACGGATGGAACTGCATTTATATCATTATTGCTTTTGAATAGAGAGGCTTTACAACTAATAGGAAAGTCCGCAAAAGAATTAAATGAAGGATGCTCTTATCCAAGTGAGCTTGATGATTTAATTGAGAAAAAAACTCATGTTCAAGGTTAGGAATAAGGAATTAAACATTAAAAGAAAGGATCGTTTTTGTGAAGTTGTTAGGTTTACTGATGATGAAACTCTTCTAAAGACATATTGTCATCCTTCGATTCAAGACATTTTCAATGTAAGTGTCTTTATCACAATTTATTTTTTAATATAATCTTAATATAATTTTGACTTAATTAAATTGTTCAAACAGGATTCATCCTTTGATTATGGACAAAGCTCTGATAGAGATAAACATTTTGAGGTAATATATCATAAGCCAAAGTTTCATTTAGTTTAATTATTAACAATGTTATGCAACCACTGCTATTCTATGTGGTTAATTTATTTTGGAACTCCCATAAAAAAATAACATTTTATAGTGTGGTTTATCGTTAACCTGAGATTTAGTACTTTAGAAATCTCAAAACCCCATTATTGATTCTAAAAAAATGTTGAAGAAGATAATGTGAGTCTTTTTTATTTGACTAAATTATTTAGTCGAGATCACTTGTGTTAGTGTGAAGGCAATATTTTTAATTTGATATCTTCTAGAGTAAACTTGGAGGAGTGATTTTAGGGTGTACATGACCGGATAGGTTTGGATTTTTCAAATATCAAATCAAACTTTTTGTGTAAAATTTTTTAAATTTATAAACCAAACTAATAAAACTAAGGTTTTTTTCGAGTTTTTCAACCTCGGGTTGGTTTGGGTTTTTCAAATACCAAACCAAACCATTTGTGTCGAATTTTTTAATTTTTAAATCAAACCAAACTAATAAACCTCGATTACTTTTCAGGTTTTTGGACTTTTTCGGTAAAGTATTCATACAAACATATTATTAACTAGTGCTCCAAATATTTCTTTATAAGTCCAAACCAAAATACAACTATCTAAGGTGTTTCTTGAACTCTGTGCTCTAATATCAAGTTTGTCATGCCCCGGGTCTACACCCTAGAGGTGACCAACACTCGAGAATCATTGTTGATCCACAAAAAAACCCTTGGCCTGGCTAACTATGGTACATATGACTCAATAGAATATGTGGAAGCTTTAATAGATGGGCATTTAAAATTAGAGAACTTAAAACCATTATTTGAAAATACTTAATATAAATAGGAAACGCTTAACAAAATCATCTAAGAAAGTACTAAAACTATCTAACGTAGTCTGTCCATGAAGCCTTTACTGTCTAAACCCATGACACCTCAAAGTACTTCTAAAACCAAACAATAAACTGGAGTCCTCCAAAAGTAATGAGGTCTTACCAGAATCTGGCAAACAAATGAAGTGATCTCAACGGAACGCCTATTGATGATCCTAAGTACCTGAATTTGCATCATGAAATGATACAGGTCAATTGACATCAGTACATTGAATGTACGGTATGTAATAAGGTTGAATAAAATAAATAACTGAACTAAAAGAGATTGAAAGTGTAGCCTGAGCATGATGTAAAATCATTTAAACTTTACAATATAAGATATGCAATAGAAGCAACATAAAAATAATGTAATATACTTTCTTGGGGAGTTTCTCTAATCAACAACAATCACTTTGAGTCTAGCGATGATACAACGTCCTGCCCACATGTCCAAAGTCATTATATACTTTGCCGGGGTATAGGACAACAACTATAATATATGGATCCATCGAATGTGCCTTCTAAGAGGCAGTGGAGAGTAACATAAAAGTCGGTACAATCCTATCCTATATTGGCTACGTAGTTCATGGGGCTTGAATTAAAATGTACTCTTACCTAAATCGGTGCTCATTACTACTCCCAAATTAGTCAATATCAATTATGCTCAATAACCCTTTTTAGGGAAATGACCTTTACTTTACTTTACTGAAATGTTTTTCAGAAAACAATTTATGCTCTTTTTGAAATAGTGCCTCTTTTGTGAATGTAAAATAAAACATTTGGAACCATTTATGTTCCTTTAAAACCCTTTTCAATGATGCTTTAAAATTACTCTTGAACTTTCTTTAAATTTCATAATCAATGCATGGAAAATGCTGATTCGAATATTGTTAGCAAAAACTCTATACATAGGGTTCATGTAGAAATACAAACATGAACAACAACTCAAGAATCACAATGCATAAAATATTGCAATCTCATAAATGAGAATTTAGAACTCGGAACAAGAACATAACTCATATCAAGAATTTCATGAAACTGAGGGCAGAACCCTAGATTGAAATTTCTACTGATTGAATTTAGATGTAGGACATGAGGACGAACTTAGTCCATCACTATGAGTAGTCTTGAATACCTTCAAAGCTCCATAAATCTTGAAGAAGAACCATAACATGAAGAAGAACGATCAAGAAAACCTTTCTTGAGATTCTTGAATTAGTTTCTTGAAAATCCTATGACCAATAATTATGCTTTCTATTCATGTATGAAGGATTTTGAGTTGGAATGTTTGAAATCATTGGAGAAGGACTTACCTTGAAAAAGAATCTGGAGTAAAACTTGAAAGAATCTTGCTTGAAAGTATTATGCTTTGATTTTATTTAGGGTTTTGCCTTGAGGTTTGAGAGAGAAGAGAATAGGGAATTAAGAGACGAAAATCTGATTGTTTAGGTCCTTTTAGAAGTCAAGAAATTCATTTAGAAATTTCCTAGGGGTAAGAAGACAAAAACGACTCTTTTTAGTGTTTTTCCACCGGCCAAAACGTCACTGCACGCATCAGATTAGTACAATGATCATAACTCTTTACTCCTAACTTTAAATTATGGAAACTTGGTGGTGTTGGAAAGAAGACTGAAATAACTTTAACTTGATAGTTTATGGGGCACCTAACTCTTAGCTAGCGTTTGGCCATAGATTTCCAAATATTCTTGGCACATATTATTTGAGTGAAAATTTGGGTGAAATTTCACCATGTGTTTGACCATAGTATTTGGGAAACATATTTCACTTTTTTAGAAAAATATGATTTATACCCATAAGTTTTGAAAACTATCAAAACTAACCATACGTTTATATTACAAGTCAATTGGATCTTCGTTCCAACAAATAACAAGTAGTGTCCATGACACTGGAGCAAAGTGGTAGTTTGGAGTGAGTGCAACAATCATCATTCCATACATCGTGAAGTAGACAAAGCACATGACTTTGTTACCCTGAGCCGATTGTTCATCATTTTCATCAACAACTATACCATCACTTTCATATTCACTGAATATTTCATCACTACTTTGGTGTTCACGTAAAAAATTATGTAATACAACGCAAACAACTACTATAGAGGGTGTTTTTGTAAAATATAAAAGTTTGGTGTAAAAGTTCAATTTTTAAAAAATCCCAAATAATGAGATTTGGCCCAAATACTAGGAAAAAACTAGTATTTGGGAATTTGGGATATTTGCCAAATAATAGCAAATTGTATGGACAAACACTATTTGCCAAATTTTTTCCCAAATATTACTTGGGAAATCTATGGCCAAACGGGTCCTTAATATCTTAAGCGATATGGTTATTTGAATTTGACCCAAGTAAAATCTTATATCGAAACTCAATTAGTAAGGAAACTTTCAACTCAATTTTGTGCAAAGAAGATTCTTGTAACCTTAATTAGGTGTAAAAACGTCGGGGTTTAGGTTTGGAAAGTGTAGGAAAAGACTAAAATAACCCCTCTTAAAAACTGACAGAAGTCTTCTACGGAAGGCCATCTATGGTCCATACAATAGTCTATGGATTGTAAACCCTCTCGTAGGAACATGCTGAGTTTTCTTGATCTCTGAAGTTGGGCCTACGGACCCTTTCTACGCCCCGTAGAAACTTTGACGGGCTGTCCTGCTACTAGAAAGGTATTTCAGGACTTGATTCCACAAGGCCTTCTACGGACCGTAGAAGCTTATACAATCCGTTTTTCGGTTCTTGAAACTTAGACTTGAGAACCAACTTTCTAGAGCCTAGTTCCACGAATTCTTCTACGGTACATAGATACTTATACTGGCCATAAATGCCTTATGTCGCACCAGAATGCAGAAAATTTTCAAGGTTTGATTTGGGTTAGAACTTTTGAGGTGTTACATTAGGTCTGAAAATCGATTTTAATTTCATGGTGCCCGCTTCTGTGGCTTGCTAAAGCACCCTGATTCTCGCTATAGCGGCCTCAACTTTTACGCACGAACAATCTCTGGTAAAATGATCATAACATTTTAATCTGAATTTGAAATGATGTAGACTTGGTGAAGTTGGAAACAAAACTCATAGACCTTTAGTTTGATATGTCATGGGCCACCAAATTTATTATAGGTTGAGAGATAGGACACTTTAAACTTACTTTGTGATAGGAGCAGTGTACGACCTTAATTCATCATTAATGCACTCACATACCATCCTAACCCTGTGAAGATTGAGATTTGTATACCTTTACCGCATATGTTTTCAGTAACGATGGAGTAGGTTATTACAATCTAATTAAAATATTACAAAACTGTAATTTGCTAAAAATTTCCAAATGTCAACACCCTAAAAATTGTGATTTAATAATTTTAAATAAATAAAATGTGTCAGCACCACAAATAATCTCAAAAAGCAATTTTTAAAAATATCAATTTATTAAATTTTAATTATCATATTTTTTTTTATTAAAAGTCGAATGTCATCAAATAATAAATTCTCCTTTTTCAATTTGTTTAAATATTTCTTAAAAAGTATAACAATTTTATATATTTTTTTTAAATGACGAAGGTCAGCAGTCAGCACCCAATTTTTAAATTTTTTTTAGAAAAAATAAAACGTGTCATCACCACAAATATTATTCTTTTTTGTTTTATGTCCTCAAACAAAAATTGGTTAATAACAATCTGAATTATATATTAGACAATTTTACAAGTTCCAATTAAACTACCACTACTACTTATGTGAACTTTAACTATTTATAAACAATTACTAAGTTCTATTTTGGTATTATTTCATTAAATTAATATTTATCTATTCTTATTTTACCATTTCAAAATAAATAAACAATTTAAAAGCTACCTATTAAACACCTACTACTTAATATGTTTTGATGGTATCTTTATAGATTTAAAATTATTGCATGCGATAAAAAAAAAGTTTCATCACTACTTATTAACTATCCACTTTAACACAATTTTATAATGACTTAAAAACTATTTCTTACTACACGTTTGATTTATTATATATTGTTTATCACGACAAAATATGACATTATTCTGGATAGCACCAAAAACTAACATGGTTTTACAGTTTAATACATTATCAGAAATCTCAAACAAATCGATGCAATGGATTTTGAAAGTCCGTGTTATTCGAATGTTGATAGTGCCGGATAAACACAAGCCAAAATTACCTTTTTCTTTAGAGTTGATTTTGCAAGATGAAAAGGTAACACTTTTATAATTGCTTTACCTATTTAACAATATTCAATCTCTCGACATATTATTATTACTTTAATGCTATGAATATTATATATTAACATAACTAAAAAATTTGTTTCAATTTAGGGCGATCGTATAGATGCATCAATTGAAAAGTTTATAATTAAGTATTTCAAGAATAAGATTCAAGATCTTGGTTTATATGAGATGGAATACTTTGTTGTAGCTGCAAATTGCGCAAAATTAAAGACTTCAAAACACAAGCACAGACTAATATTTACAAAGAACACAATTGTGACGGAATTACATGATTCATTATTTCATATGAATATTTGTAATTTGCGCACTTTTGATCAATTGACAAATCAAGTGAACATGGATGAGACTGAACTATTCGGTAATAACTCACTATTACTCAATTCATAATTTGTTTTGTATAAAATTGTACTAATCTATATTATCTATAGATGTTGTTGGACAGGTCGTCTCTTATAAACCATTTAAAAACAACAAGGAAGGAGATAATGATGAGTGGTTATTTAAAGTTGTACTAGAAGATGATAAGTAAGCTTTGTCATTAATGTTTAATCTTATTTTATCATCATTTCTTTAAATTTATTATGTTTATTGTATATTCATTTATTAGATATAAGTTACTAACAATCTACTAACACAGGAAAAATAGGCTTTCAACAAATTTATGGGGCAAACATGCGTATCAAATTCAACCTCATTTGTCTGATGAACCATTGATTGTTGTTATGCAATTAATGAAGGCTCACAAACTAAGAGGTATGATCATCGTAAAATAATGAAGTTGATAATTTAAATTATCATTGATGTGTATAAAAATTGACTAACATTGCTCAAAAAAAAATCAACAGAAAATTACAAAGTTCATAGTTGTTGGTATGAAACCAAACTTTGGATAAATTCTAATCTGCCTCAGCCTACTGATTTTAAAAACAGGTTAGACGACATATTTATATTATCTATCATAAGTTTTTTTTCTTCGAAATTTATACAACTTATATGTTGTTTTGAATAATCTTGCAGATTATGGGTGTGTTTGGTATGAAGGAAAATGTTTTCCATGGAAAATGTTTTCCTAGAAAATGTTTTCCTGGAAAACAAGTTGATTTTTGACTTATTTTCTCATGTTTGGTTGGTGATTAGAAAAGATTTTTAGTGTTTGATTTATGAATGAAAAATATTTTTGAGAAATATCTTTTATTTTTATTAGAGTAGAAAATAATTTTTGAAATTGAAAA